GAGCTCGTGGGAAGAGAGATTTGAGAAAATATATCTCAAATATATATTTGAGAAAAGTTTGAGATACACATTTTGATTGTTTTCCATTTCCTTATGGGACAAGACTTTCCCTGCTCTGAAATCTGTATTAGTCAGGAATTATTCCTTCTAAAATCCATCCTCAACAGCCTGAGCTATACAAGCCACCCACCCAAGTACCCTGCAGCACTCTTTTAATCATGTTCTAACACAACTGTTAGCATGGTTTCCCTGACAAATATGTACAGGGATTTTATGGCTAATATTTTTCTAGCAACAACCTTGTTTAAACATGATTGTTGCTGGTACAGCTCTGATCCACAACATTACTCGTATAGTGCCAAAAAGTCAGCCGCATATACTCATGAAAGCAGCAAGTCATCACTCTAGTTGGAAAAATGTTTTTCCAAGTTAGCAAAATCACTCTGGCTAAGAAAACATGCCACTTCCAAGAAGCACCAAGATCTTTCATGCTTTTAGGGCCAAATATTCAAACATGCATAACGCAGCTTGGATAGATGCATACCAACCACCATGCAGGTCAGGTTGGCATGGGTACAAAGTTTCATGTATGAACATACCTCAACTTCAGTAGCTAAGGGCATGATCCAAAGCCCATTGAAGACTGAAATCACGAACTTCAATTGATTTTAACGGGCTCGGAGTCAGGCCCAAAGTGGATTGTGTGGAAGTGTGCATGCAAATTTCTGTCAACTTGGGCTGTAGCTTTTTAGCTAACCCTGCCATTGTTGTTTGTCACTGGACAAAGCATGGGAAAAGAGAGAATGCATCACAGTGAGCCATAAGAGAAATCATCTACTCTGCCTAACATATAGCATTCCCACTGCTTTCCACAATGCAAATTGCTTTGGTCCCACCTCATGCAGCTATTACGCTGAGGAATGTTTTAGTCACTTGAGTTGGTTTTTCATATGTTAGCAGTGACCTGCTCTGTAAAATGTCCCACTGCAGCAGCTGAGATCTTGTAGTCAACCTCTGTACAAAATACTGCAACCGTGCAGGGCTCTTCCTTACAGAAAACATTCCACTTGAGGAGCCAAGCGAGCTCAAGTCCGGTAACCTAAGCGGCAAAATGCAAATGCTTTTTTGTAAAATGGAGATTTCAACTAATTTACTGTTTATGAGTTACCAGGGAGTCTCCAGACATACACAGCGGATTTTAAAGAGGTGCCCAATGGGGTGATTCAAATATCTTAAGGTTTGTTTTCACATTTTAAAAAAACAAACAGAGTGAGCGGCTGAGCTGCCATGCTTACAGGCTCGGTCTAAATTTCTAGTTGTATCATATAGACTAAAGGCTGAAACTCCTCTCATAGCCATCCTTTTGTGCCTAAGTACTGGTATTAAACCAGGAAAAAGAGGGAGGGGAATAACGCTGAGGTACACAAGTTCATTAGGCAACTGATGTCCATGTATATTAAATATTCTCTCAGATTTATATCCAGTGGCACTAACCCACCCAATGCATAATAATCATCACCACCACCCATAAGGAAAAAGCAACTGCGTGCTCTTTCAACTGCAATCTGTTTGTCAAGCCATTTATCTTCTGAAAAATGCAAAAACCAGTTCTTGATTAATAACCCTCAGATTTCTCTTTAATAGTTGTGCAACTAAAGCACAGCTCTATGCCAGGAGATCTGAATTCTATCCCCAGCTCTTGGCAGCGATGTGCTGTGTGACCTCAGGCAAGTCACACATCACTCCGTGCCTCAGTTTACCCATATATAAAAGGGGGTAAATAATATTTATCTACCTTTCAGGGGTGTTGTGGGACATAATCCATTAATTATTTGTAAACTACTTGAATATTTGCAGATGGAAGGCCCTATAAAACAGCCAAGTAAATATTTTAAGTCTAATTTACAGAAGCACAGAAGAAACCTGCAACACCATGTACTTTTCTGGGAGTCAGGAAAGACCCTAAACAGAGTGCTCTCATTAGCACTACATAATACTAATACTATGCAGAGACCAGGGATAAGAAAATTTTGTTCTATAGACTGCGCTTACAAATAAATGAAGGGGGAGGACATAGACGTGTTCCTCTGGATGAAATTGCAGAGAACATTATCAAAACCTTGTCTGAGCTATAGCTGTAACTTTACTGGGAGCCCATTTCTATCTTCTGTGATTCCATATGATGTGAGCAAGTTTCATTTGAGAGTCATGGAAACAGATTCCCAGGCCAATTTCATTCAGCCCAATAACTTATATTTAGTTAACACACATCTTCCAGAAAGGCATCCTGAAGAAGAGCTCTATGTAAGCTCGAAAGCTTGTCTCTTGCACCAACAGAAGTTGGTCTAATAAAAGATATTGCCTCACCCACCGTGTCTCTCTAATATCCTGGGACCAAACACAGCTACAGCACTGCACAGAAAGACATCCATTCAAATACCCTTGCAAACTCCTTTGCAGCCCTCTGCTGCCCCACATACCCCATGGATAGCAAGCGTCCGAACAAGAATCAAATTTTGTCCCAAATTTCACTATGAAATTTTATTTTAAACCCATTTTTAATTTATTTGATTTAGAAACCAAGGGTTTGCCATTCAACCCTGGAATAAATATAGGTCTTAGGCAGGCACCTTGTCTTCCAAGTATCAAGTTGGCATTAATTTTACAGCTACCGTAAGTGATTCACAGAGAGCAAAATGGAAAGGGAGAAGCTAAGCAATTTGTTCAAAGCCATAGAGGGAGCCAATGTCAGAGCCAGGGAGAGAATTCAAAAGTTCCTGGCTCTCACGCCTGTGCTCAGACCACACTTCTCCCCAGGTAATATGTCAGCTGTACTAATCATACATATATAATGAAACAGCCAGTGTTAGGGGAAAGATATTTCTGATTTATGTTCACGTAATTGAGATCAGAATAGCTGCACTGAGGTCAGTTCAGCTATTCTGGATTTAACGCCTGTGGACCTGGAGCCAGAATCTAAAGCAGTGGCTGTGTCTCCTCTGAAGTTACGCTACTGATCATGCAAACAAAAAGTGCTTGGATTTTCCTCTTCCTACATTTGCCAAACTGCCTACCCCATTACACTACTTTACTCATGTTTATGGCAGATTTTCATATTTGCACTGTCATCTTCTTTGCAGCAGCTTTTTCATCTTCTCCCCCTCCCTTACATTTTGCAAGCAACCAAAAAAACCTGACCAAATGTCTCGTTCATACTGACTTTCAACTCAAACATATGTCAATGTGAAAACCCACCAGGTGGTTCTCTAATGAACGCAGGCTGGTTCTCCAATAATCCCACCAACGGAAAAGAAAAACCATTTTAAGCTATGAAATTTTATTGCAAGACAGCAGACAAAGTAGTCAAACATGCATGCCTGGATACTACCTAAAAACACCAATTACCTTTTGTAGCACCATCAGACATCCCCCAGACATCCAACAGACACACAATAATGAGGCAAGAACCTAGAAAGTTCAGAAAATTAATTCTATCTGCTGAAGAGAAGCCGTGTTCAAATGGAGAGTGGAAACATTTGGAAAATGTCAGCTCTTGTACTATAAATATCGACAGATGCGAAAATTTAACAATCTCAACCATTAGAAATAAAATATCCATCTTCTTTGTTAAGCATTGAATGTTTTTTTTCAAGTAGTCATCAGAAGAAACCTGCTGAATATGCCATTACCCAAAACAATCACATGGAAAAAATTGCATGTGTTTTCAAACCAGCACCTGGACATTTTAGCTTTGGCCTGTGGGGTGGTTGTTTCTTCATTATTTCAAACACACACGCACACATGTGCGTACACACGCTATAATCAACCAACCTGGCGGGGGAAATCCTCTTGCTTCTGACCAGACAGATTGCTCTGCCCTTTAAAATTATCAAGTGCTAAAAATCCAGTAAGCTCACTGAACCCTTTTTCTACTCCTCTTAACTCCTGGAATTCAGGCACCAGTGCAACTTGAGGTTGCATCATCTATTGGTCTGTAAAAGAATCTTATTCCACCTCAACAGCCCACATTACAAAACTGTTACAAGTAGGTTTCAAAGTAACAGCCGTGTTAGTCTGTCTTCGCAAAAAGAAAAGGAGTACTTGTGGCACCTTAGAGACTAACCAATTTATTTGAGCATGAGCTTTCGTGAGCTACAGCTCCGGAGTGAAGTGAAGCTGTAGCTCACGAAAGCTCATGCTCAAATAAATTGGTTAGTCTCTAAGATGCCACAAGTACTCCTTTTCTTGTTACAAGTAGATTTCTCAACACTGACAGACTCTGTCATCTCCTGTGGGAAAAGGCCCAAGGGAAGCCTGCAGTTTAGCTGTTCACATTTTTAATTTCCTGTAGACAAAACCACATTGGTCCCAATCCAAAAACTCCCCAGTATGTTACAGAAGACAACCCAGTATTCCATAGTAAAAGTTGTTCATGGTCTGTCTAAGTGCCCCAGGAGGTTACAGGAGGAAGTTAGCCCTTCAGATTAACCAGTTGAGTACATTCATTATGGCTCATCTCCGGAAACTCTATTTATGCAGTTTTCACTCATCCACAAAACTCTAATCAACGTCAGTGGAAGTTTTGCCAGAGTAAAGCTGGAGGGTCTGATTTTCAAAAGTGCTGAGCACTTGCAACTCCCATGGATTTCATTAGGAGCTGTGTGTGCAAAGTACTTCCGATGCTCTGGGGATGGGTGACATATGAAGGGATGATTAGTTGATAGGCTAAATAATCAGGTTCCTCAGGATTTGGCTTTTAGGTTCCAATCCTGCAAAGATTCACATGTATGCTTCACTTTACACACTGAGTGGCCTCACTGATGCCAATGGGAATATATGCAGTGTGCAATTTAAGCACATGCATAAGACTTTGCAGGAGAGAGGGCCTAAAGTCTATAAAACTTGACCTGGCAGGTAGAAGATTAAAAAGCAAATCCAAATGTAGTTACTTATGTTACTGCCGTAAAATTCTGAAGGGAAGAAAAAAAAACTGTACATACCTCGGGCATCAAAGAATTCATCGTCTGAGCTCTCCACAGAGTCATTAATTATATTCTGCATGTGCCACTGAGTGCCACTGAATCTGCGCGAACCAGCTGGAAGTAAAGACAGACTCACATTAACAAAATGAAATGATGATCTGCTCGCCAAGCTACAAAAGAAAAAGTCTAATTAAGTCCTCATAAATTGTGTGAGATGCTCATTTTGTCCAATTCATGTTTTTTAACCTAATGAGAGGGCCACTAAGAACATGTGGGATGACAGCAAAAATTATACCTTCTGCAAAATCTGAGTTAGAATGATTAAAGCAAACCCTTTGTTCAGGTTCAGTGTGCAATGCTCTCCCCAAATGGAGTGACTTAAGAGACAAAGAAAAATTCCATTCATTTGAACTTGTCAGACCATTACATTCCAAGCTCGCCCTCAAGCTGTGCAAATACGTCTAAAGGCAGAAAGAAGCATTTCTTAGGGACAGCGGAGCAGCTCACATTAGAACTGAATTTCTTCCATAGCTCTTATGAAGATGCACCCTTCTGTTTGGCTTGCAGATTTGCATGCACACTACTGAATTTCCTCAAATGAACATCAAAGAGCTTTGGTTTTCTTTATTGTTAACATAAATGTTCCTGTAGCTTTTGACAGAAGCTTGACATTTGAAGATAAGAAGGCCAAAGCATTTTGGGAGAGCTAAATAACAGTGTCACATTAATATAGCTCAGACACATTATATAACCTTACACTGATATGAAAACATGAAGCTATCTGCGCAGTTTGCATCATCCATTCCTCATATGTGATGGTGTGTGGTACCTGTGTATGACAGGACTACGCCACACTTTCAGATAGGATGTAAAAAATGTCTATAAGAACTGAACCATTCAGAGAGATACATAACTAGGGAGAAAGCTAGAATTTGGCCAGCATTCTCCTGGGCTAATATTGCCACAGTTTTCATTCCATTTAGTGCATTCATATACACAGGCTGTATTTTATTTCTGCAAATGAGAGGCTATATCACAAGACATGTACACTTGCAACCCCGCTTCAAGCCAATGGGAAGGCCAAGGGGAAAAGGTCCATCATTAACATTTTAGAACTAAATTAATCTTTTCATGAGTATCTACTTGCCATATCAAAACAGCCCCCTAAGTTTTAGTCACTTAGTGAGCCCTGAGAAGAGGTGGATTCAAACTACGATGGCCCAATTGGCCCATCTTAATTTGAGGGCCTTCTGGCAAACCTTATGATTACCTAGTAATAATACTTCACTCTTGTAATAGGGCTCTTCATGCTTAGACCTCAAAGTGTGTTACAAAGGAGGTCAGGATCACAACCCCCATTTTTACAAATAGCAAAATGGAGGCACCGATTGGTGAATCAACTCACCCAAGGTCACCCAGTGTCAGAGCTGGGAAAAGAACCCACCTTTCTCCAAGTCCTAGTCGAGCACCCTGTCCAATGGACCATACTGCCTCTCAATCTTTATAACCCTCTCTCTCTCCCTGGCTGTTCCCCTCACCCCCACCAAACTCAGAGTGCCACAGAGAAGAGGAGACACCATCCTGGCATTAACTAACATGGTGGGGATTTAATAGCCAAACCAAATCTTTTCCCCATCTAGCATTTTGGTATGGTCCTTGATAAAGAGATTGGGCCAACCACAGCATTTGGCTTTTGATCTGAACTCTGTCCATCTTCTAGTTGACATCACCTTTCTGGTACTCATTAGTGACAACTGACGTACCTTGTTAATGCGGAAGGTTTTGGACTCCTCAGAGAAATCCACAGTCACCAAGATATGTGATTTCATTGTATGATAATGTAAGTACAGAGCTACCCACTTAGCAAATACCTAAGCAACAAGCAAGCATGGTAAGCTTTTTAGCAATCTTCATTTCTATGTGGCCAGAATCAATAATGCACCGTGCTGTAATCAAACCCTCCCAGAAAAAGCCTTTGTCCATTTCACTTTAATATACGTCAGTAACATCACTGCCACTGACCAACAGAAGTGTTTCAAAGCAAGAGGAATGATTCAGTGCTGTAGCCTTACTGCAGGACGTTTGCGGGGAGTTTACTTTATGAATGGTTTGAAGGAATTTATATTAGTACCTATTTTAACCCCCCCCCCTTTTCATAGAATCATAGAATATAAGGGTTGGAAGGGACCCCAGAAGGTCATCTAGTCCAACCCCCTGCTCGAAGCAGGACCAATTCCCAGTTAAATCATCCCAGCCAGGGCTTTGTCAAGCCTGACCTTAAAAACCTCTAAGGAAGGAGATTCTACCACCTCCCTAGGTAACGCATTCCCGTGTTTCACCACCCTCTTAGTGAAAAAGTTTTTCCTAATATCCAATCTAAACCTCCCCCACTGCAGCTTGAGACCATTACTCCTCGTTCTGTCATCTGATACCATTGAGAACAGTCTAGAGCCATCCTCTTTGGAACCCCCTTTCAGGTAGTTGAAAGCAGCTATCAAATCCCCCCTCATTCTTCTCTTCTGCAGGCTAAACAATCCCAGCTCCCTCAGCCTCTCCTCATAACTCATAATTTCTTCACTCACACACAGAGTAGAACCCATATTTTACAAATTAACAGGACTGAGGGGTTCATAAAAATTGAAAAGCTCATACAATTGAACATGTCAAAATTACAGTAGATACAGTGCAAAAGTAGCAGTACGCTGCACTGCGTCACTTTCTCAGTGTCCTTCAAACCACTGCGAAACAATTTCCAATTCATTGGGATGTGCAAGGATGAGAACTTGTTCTTCATCAACTATCTTTTTGAAGACAGTGCACCTCAGAGCCTTAATAGTTCCCTCCATCCCTTTTAGGGAAGTTGTCATTCAACAGCAACTTTTCAATCACACTTAGGTTTTGTATACACTACATACTTACTTCGGTATAACTACATCACTCAGGGATGTGAAAAATGCACACCCCTGAACAACGTTGTTATATTGACCTTATAGCGCTGTCTACACAGGAGGTTATCGGCAGAAGAGCTTCTCCCAACAACATAGTTACCACCTTCTATCTGCTTAGAGTGTCTTCACCAGATACGCTACAGTGGCATGCAGCTGTGCCAATGTAAACTTGTAGTGTAAACCTGCCCTCAGTCAGTGAATAAGTCACAATTAACACAAATGCTTCAGCTATCAGAGGAGTTGTGCAGCAATACTACATTCCAGAGATGCTAGTCTCAATCTCTCTCATCTGCATACAAACCTCCCTTCCTTCAGTGATAGTTAAAGTGCCGTGCCAAGCAACCACCCTATTACAAGGGACACTATCAAGTTAAAAATCATTTGAGCTGGCCAGAAGACAGAATCCCTTCCTGCCTCCACCCGCATAGAAAATTTCAACAAGAAGATTTTTTGGTTTATTTTTATAACGGAAAAGTTTTTGGCCAAACCCCCACCCCCCACACACATTTGGACCAAAAAACAAATAGTTTCAATTTGGAAATGCTGTCATAGTGCCTCACGGGAGCTGTAGTTCAAGTGGTTTATGCTCCTATTCTATTCTATAGGCAGAGCTCCCTGTTCTGACTACATTTCCCATGATGCAAGACAGTGATGTGAGGCAGTTGCATCATGGGAGTCTTTGGTCACGGTGCATCATGGGAGATGTAGTCCACTGCCAACAATGAAGACACCCTTACCCACCTTACTAATAACTGGAGAGAAGGGCCTGTGCTGAAGTTCTGATCCAGACATGAATCTGAATTGTGCCAAAAGGCCAGGAGCAGGAAGGAGAGTTCAGACCCAGCACCTAAGATCAATGTTTTTTAACCTTTCTAGATTGGTGATGCCTTAATTTGAAGTCAAAAATCTTCATGACCCACCCTCCCTTACATTTACTATAAAGATAAGAATAAAAAAGTATCAGTGATAAAAATGATAAACCTATACAATGTAATTGTGTGTTTCAAGAGATTGACAGAGAATACTTGACCTTGAAGGACGGGGACTATGGGAAGTGAGATTTTCTTTGCTTTAGCTTGTAATAAGATTTTCAGCACCTCACAATCTCCAATTATCTTTAATGACACTCCCGGGGGGTTGCAACTTACCTATTGAGAAACACTGCCTTAGATCACCAAACGTGGATATGAGGGTACTTCATGCTATATATGCCATCTGTAGTTATTTTTGTATCTCTATAAAGTTGGGAAAGGGAAATAGACAAACAAGGAGCGCACTGGTGAAGTAGCCCAAGGCTATGGTTATCATCACTGAGGGAGAATGTTTATTTGTTTTTAAAACTAGTTTTCCCAGTGGAATAAAAATAAATGATTCAAACATTTCTAAAAGGCTTTGGCTTTAGACAAACTTGTTTTGTGAAACCAAAGGGCTAGATCCTTATTCCCTTATCCATGCCGAGTAGTAGAGCTGGGCAAAACTTTTCAGTTAAATAACTTTATTTGTTGAAAAACACAGTTTCAGGTGGACTGAAACAATCCACAAATTTGACATGAATTCACGAAATAGTTTCAAACAACCCCCTCCCCCCCTTTTCAGGTTAAATTTACAAGGGGACTCAAGTGCCATCCACAGAAAGGAAGGAGGAGGAGATGGTGATATCCTCATATCTGAAAGCCTATGCTGTCTCCTGGGTGTAATTTGGCTTTTTTACATATGATTTTACAAAAATGGCTCAGAACTTAAAAAATTGGATGGTAACTGACCATGAAACCCAGTGATGATTCAGCCTGGTGATATTCTGAACAAAGATCTCTCACTGTGCTTTTAGCTGCTTCCTGTGCTTCACATTGACTCAACAGAAACTGTAGACTTAAGAGTGACACACAGTGTGACATTCCTGGACTCTTAATATACAGATAGCTCAGTGCTTAGGGCACCCACCTGCATTGGGGAAGACCCAGTTTCAAATCCCTGCTCTGGAGCAAGGATCTGAACCTCGGTCTCCCACATCCCAGGTGAGTGTGCTAACCACTGGGCTAACGGGTAAAAGGGGGACACTGCCTGCTCATTTCCATTTACTTTTGTTTATAAAAAGATTAAAATGCCCAGAAATAAAAATTTTCTTTTGGATCAAAATGTTTCATTTGACCTGAAATGAAATTTTTG